GGAGCAGTTCGGGACATTCAGGACATTTATATATATGTGTTTTGGACTGTATAACTAAAATTTACGCTTCCGCTTACGTTTTGACTATCTTTTGACGATGCTTAATGGTTTTGTCGAATTTATCGTATTCTGACGAACTTTTCAGAAAATAAAGTTTTTAAATAACCGGACGTTTTTAATAAGTTAAAACAACGGTTTTCTAAAGTTAAGTAAAGATTTTCACGGTAGCACCCCAAATCAGTTTCGCAAAGTAGAAATGTTTTATTTTTCAAAGACTTTGCGATTAAATGCGCTACTCTGATTTACTAGTAAGGTGGGGTGTTACATAAGAAAGCTTTGCTATGGGGCTATAAGATGGCATCACTAGCTATATAGAATTTTATAGATTTAGGATCATATGAGAAAGGATTATAGTGAACGAAAAATAGCCTAACATACCATTTCCTATTGTTTGATATTTTGTTTTGTATTTTTGATGTGATGAATCTTCTTTTTTCCAAATTTGTTATTTCTCCCATTAATTCCAATTTGTTGTCATTCTCAAATTTGCTCTCATGTTGTTCAACACAAAACCAAATCTGAATCACCACAAAGTGTATTCAATTGGGAATTTAAATGGCATTTTAAGACTTTTTAAAATTTGAGATTTGTTAGGATTTTCAGATTTGGAAAGATTTCCATGAAATCTCAAGTCTGGGGGTATGATTTGAAGTGAAATTTCGTATAAGGTTTTTTTGTTTAGAAATCCCCCCAAATCTTAAAAAGTCTTAATAAATTCTAGTGTCAAATAAATGAAATACCTCCGAATTTTGTAAGACTTTTAAAAATCCCAATTGAATGCCCCAGGATTTTTAAAGGTCTTAAAAAATCTAAATTGAATACATCAGGATTTCTAAAATCTTAAAAAGTCATTAAAAATCCTAATTGAATACACTCAGTCTCTTGTTCTTTCTCTTATACCAATGGAGCTTTCTGCAACAGACCCAACACGACTCGAGTTTTAAGATTTGTGGTTGCAAACGACTGTAATCGCCAGATTAGAGGAGATGAAGGTTGGATGGTTTTGCTGGCAATTGGAGGAGATGAGTCTGAACTCATATATATATATTCTTAAATATCCTTCATTTTACCCAACTTTAAAATATTGTATTGAGGTGAGTATGATCTCATTTGTTCTTTCTTTATTTTCACCAAGTTCAAGATTTAAGTCTTACAACAATTAAACAAAATTGGGCCAAAGCATTGTGGATTCAATATTATTGCTATTTTTTCAACAAACGATAATAATATTATTAACATAAAAACCCCATCCTTTTAGGATTAATAATATTATAGTATTGCTAATATTATTCCTAATTGAGTTCTTTATTTTGTAGGTTATGTTTTATGTATGGGTTATGTTCTCTGTATTTTGAAACTCTGATGCAACAGATTGATATATTTTGTGGGCTAATTAATTTTTTTTTTTTCAAATAGTCATTTTTTTATATGGTAAAATATTTTTCTCATCCGAACTACCACGGTTTTGGCGCATCACAATTTTTTTTTTTTACAGACCACCATACTATATGGGTTTGTCAATGTGCCCCTAAACCGGATATAAAAATAGTTTTGACTAAAAAAAATTGTTTTTTAATGACAAAATTTAGTAATTTCACACATTTTTCAGAAAATAAAAAAAGAAAGATGAAAGAAATGAAGAAGTTGGTTTCAAAAAATAAAAAACAAAATAAAAAATAAAGAAAACGAAAAATGAAGCTCGTTCCACCAGAAATACTTGCTACGCCACCGGAGTCCCCGTTGGCCTGCACCGTCGCCGGACCCACCACCGCTTCCCGTTCATAGTGGAAACTGATGCATGTGACGAAAGTTGAGGGCACATCACGTCGAGCTCGTTGTGGGTACGTGGCGGGCCTCCTACGGTGTTCGTGAGACTTTCATCACCCTGCGAGTGTGCGTAGGGTGTCGAGCGACTCCTCTCGTACGAGGCCCGCCAAGTACCCACAACGAGCCTGACGTGATGTGCCCTCAACTGTCGTCACATGCATCGGTATTCACTACGAACGGGAAGCGGTGGTGGGGCCGGCGATGGTGCAAGCTGGCGGGGGATCCGGTGGCGTAGCAGGTATTTCTGGTCCAAGGCATTTTTGAACGAGCTTCATTTCTCGTTTTCTTTTTTTTTTCTTTCTTTTTGAAACCAACTTCATTTTTTCTTTCTGAAAAATGTGTGAAATTACTAAAATAGCTTTTTTTAGTCAAAGCCACTTTTATATCCGGTTTAGGGGGCACATCGGCAAACTCGTATAGTTCATATGGTGGTTTGTAAAAAAAAATAGTTTATATGGTGATGCGCCAAAACTGTGATAGTTCGGATGAGAAAAAGTATTTTACCCTTTTTATATTTTAGAAACTTTAGTTTTGAGTTCATGTTTTATATGTGTATAACTATTTTATTTTTCGGATTGATCTTTGTGTGTATGTGTATGTATATGAAACTCAATCTTAGCCATTGATTTTGTGTAGATCAATGTTACATTAAATAATAAAATATATTAATTGTTATATTTAAATTTATTATATAATAAATAAATAAATTTATTTTCATTGACCAATGTTGATAGCCAGCCGACGACCATTGACCGGTCAACATCGCTGAGAACCTCATATTCCGGTCAGTGGGCTCGGTCAGGAGCTCTTCGCCAACGGCGGGGGATTGGAAAAACATTTAGCCGACGTTCGTCTTCTTCAAGTGATCGTCGTTGCAACGACGTGGTTGTCTTCTCGCCACAAAGGTCCGACTGGAAAATTTTTCAGCCTTCTCGCGTTGCCACAGTTCATGCAGCCATGTCCGGCCATCTGTCCTTTAATGCACAGGAGCGCCATCACTAGCCGATAAGGGATGCATTTTTTAGACTTCAATGGACGCACAGGGAGTGCCATCACTGGCGTGTCGGATTGTTCGATTTTGGGAATCAATTTTGGGGCTAGGGCATGCTTGTTAAAAAAAAAATAGATAGATAGACTATAGGAGTTCAGTTGCAATTTCAAAAACTTATAAGTTATTGCATTTTGATCTTTGGGGTTCAATACGT